CTTTCGTTGCTGTGCAATGCACGGCCATAGACTTGTGGCTTATGACAACCCACATGCATTCTCTCACAGTTCTTGGGTCTCCTGAGTCTGAAAGGCCTCACTGAGGTCAAAGTGTGAGCAGCGCCCTGCTCCGTCCGGAGGCCCTCAGGAAGAGTCTCTTCCCTGGCGTGTCCCAGTTCCAAGAGGCCAACTGCATTCCCGGGCTCAGGGCCCCCGCACCATCCTGAAGGCCATTTGCAGAGCATCTTCACATCTCTGACTCTGTGACGTCTGCCTCCCTCTTTCACTTTCAGGAACCCTTGTGATGACGTTAGAGTCACCCAGGTAATACAGGATAGTCTCCCATCGCAAAATCCTTAACCACTTCTGCAAAATCCCTTTTGTTACGTCAGGGAATGTATTCACAGGCTCCGCACTTTGGAAGGTGGGTGTGAGGGGGCTGGATTCTGCCCACCCGCCCCCATCACGGGCGCTCTGTGATCTGCTCATTGGGGCACCCCTGAGTCTCCTGAGGGCAGGAGCTCTTGTATTTAGTTCCTGGGGAAGCCCAGTTTTTTTGCTGGATGAACAAATTAATCAATAAAAGACAGACTTGGATTCAAATCCTAACTCTGAGGAAATGGGAAAGATACCCCATCTCTCCAAGCATCCATTCTTTTGGCCGTCAAGGTGGGCAATCTTACCCACTTGCAGGGTCATGTGAAGGTAAGCTCGCAGAGGCCAAATCAGTGCAACCCAGCCCAGGAACTATACCCCCTCCACCCATACGCATGAAACCTCAGCGCCCGAGATGGACCTCCGAAGCCTGCGAACAACGGTCCTCTCTGCTCCTGTCTCTCTTGTCCGTATTGTCATTAATCATCAGCGCTGTCGCACAGCTGTTCTCAGATGTGTTCCAGGCTGCAGAAATGAGATGGGAGAGGAGGTTAATTGTGCTGGAGAAATACGTAGAAGAATCAGACTTCAGCCTTCAAAGATTTTTCTGTATATGGGCAAAGCTGTTTGAGGTGGCTCAAAAAGGAAGGAAAGGGAAATGAGGTTGGGTCTGGGAGAACACATAGCTTGCCTGGGGACCAAAAATGGTGGGTGAGGAGCAGGCCAGGTGGCCAATCACACACCCGTGAAGGAAAGTGACCCCCCAAGGTCTGGGGCTGGCTTAGGGGTCCAGGGGCCTGCTGTAATCAGCACAGAGTTCTGAAACCAGGATGAATTTCTTTCCTTTTTTAATTTTTTGACAAAATGTAGCATGTCCTATTTGTTTTCTTTTTCAGGAATGTACTGAATTTACTTACAAGTTTGCAGAAGAAACCCGAAGGCAGCCCTTTGGGGCAGCAACACCAGGCTACGATTTCATGGCCCAATTGAGGTATATTCCTATGTATACATTTGACCCCTGAACATGGGTTTGAACTGTGTGGGTCCACTTATATGCTCATTGTTTGTCAATAGCATATTGGAAAATATTTTGGAGATTTGCAGCAATCTGAAAAATTGTTCTTTTTGCTCTAGATTAGTGTATGTAAGATTCCAACCTATAGTACATATAGAAAATACTGTTAACCACTGTTTATGTTATGGGTAAGGCTTCCGGTCAACGGCAGACTATTAGCAGTTAAGTTTGGGGGGAGTCAAAAGTTACCCTAAGCTTTTTGAATGTGCAGGGGGTTGGCACCCCAACCTCTGCATTGTGCAAGGGTCAACGTATCTATGTAGTACATTTCCCCCAGTAGCATCTGAAGACAAAATGTTGAAGATGTTCTGTATCCACCGTAGCAAGCTCAGCTCAGCTCAGCATTTCCCCTTCTGAAATATTTATAAGGTGTTCACTAATTCAAGGTGAATAATGCAGGTCATTCCTTCCTTAGAAGTGGAATAGAGTCGATCCTCCCTCCCAACGCCCATGAGCTGGCCAACAACCGACTGCACGTGTCCATCTCTAACATCAAGACCAGAGAAAATTGCTTAGTCTCAAGTTTTTCCTCCAGAGAGGATCTCATTAAGGTAACACAGCCGTATTTCCTGTTGGCGGAAATCAGCAAGTTCTGATTTAAACTTCCCTCGAGCAGTGAGCATCACCACGTTCTTTAGATCCAGCGTTGCGTGTCAGGCCTGACAGAGGATGGGCTTTCCGTGAATCGTGTGTTTGATGCATGGATTAACCGGTGTCCCAGCTCAGAACAGGGAACTCCAGGGGCCTCCCGTCCTGGCTGAGTGGTTTTCTGGTGATGTTCATTATGCTCACGTCCATTGTGCGAAGCAGGTCGTGAGGCCATTTCATAGCAGTAATCGTTTCTTAAATTCACGTTACTAATATAATACTTTGCAGTTCATGTAAGACTTCCTACATGCACCATCTTATTTGGTCCTTTGACAGTCCTTTCATGAGGGGGGTGGGACAGGTGTGATTACTGCCCTCGTATTGCTTTTCTAAACAAAGAAAAAATGGGTAGAAAGATCTTTTAAATGACATACCCAAGCGTATACTGATGGCCAGTGGGAACAGCTTCTAGAGCCCCAGTCTCTTGGTTTTTCAACCTGATGTTCCATTTTGCACTAATTTACAAATAACCCGGCACTTACTAAGGTAATACATTAAATACCTGTAAATTAGAAAGGATGTACTTTCCGTAGCAGAGATGGGCAATTTTTTCTCTTTCACTGCAAGCTTGAGGTAATACAGAAGATGCATGTTGGGACACAGCAGAAGGTGATGGATTGAGAGTGAGTTGTAAACGTTCTGCCAGAATTACATGATTAATGCATTGATTTTTACTATCGAATCTTATGGTTCCTGTCTTACCATCTGCATGATATAATTTGAAATACCTAATGAGGTGTTGAATTGACAGGTAAAATGACTTTGTGCCTTAACAGATCAGACTATTTTTCTCGGTGCTCCAACTACACAGGTCTCTCACTTACAGATTAATAGTCTTTCTACCTTAGGGAAAGATTGTATCTTTCTGTAATCTTATGTAGACTTACTAAATGTAAAGGGAGAGGCTGGTTAGCCCATGCCTGAATCGATGCCTATTGTCCATGCCAATACAGACCCAGAAGGCTTTCTGTGGGGTGGAGTACGTCTTCCGGTTTGTATGGAAACACCGCTGAGTGTCATCACGTCATAAAATGGGAGGGATTCTTCCCAGCCTTACCTTCTCCAGTCTGTCTGGGCTGGTCTGTATACAGCAGCTGGGTCCCTGTGTTTGCTATACCCCTTCCTGATTGACTTATGTCTGCTCAGCATGCTGCTTTATTGAGTTAGTTTTTATAATTTTCCTTCCTGCGTTAGAATGGAAGCTCTGAGGGGGAAGGGATGGCTCTGTTTTGCCCACTTCTCTATCGCCAGTGCCTGGCACAGTGCCAGCTCCATTAATACATGTTTGAGGAATGAATACAAGTAAATAAATAAATGAGCTAAGGTGGCATCTGTTACAATGATGTAATTGGAAACAAAAGAACAAAGAATGTAGATCCTACGTGTTCAGTGAGGTAGACAAAATAATTTCACTGGTTAGTGGCCCAGCTGGGACTGCAGTCCAGGTGTCTGACATGGTGCTGGTTACGCCACAGGCTGGTGCACCTGCACACCTGTGAAGAGGTCCCCAGAACCTGTGACTACGTCACCTTACGTGGCAAAAGGTATTTTATAGGTGTGATTAAGGTAGAGGTCCTGACATGATGATCCTGAGATGTCCTGGATTATCTGTGTGGCTCCAACCTAAGTACAGGAGTCTTTAAAACCAGAGATCTTGCCTGGATTCAGGGTCCCATGGCAGGTTCTGAGGTGCAGGACCCTTACACAAGAGGGCACAGAGGCTCTGGGCACTGCGGGAGACTCTGCTCCGACAGTCAGCAGGGCAGGGGCATTCAACCCAACTGCCATGGAACTCAATTTTGCCAGAATCTGAATGAGCAGGACACAGACCCTCCCCACAGCCTCCCAGAGGGAACATGGCCCTACCCACCTCTTGATTTTAGCCTGGTGAGATGCACGACAGATTCTGACCCCAAGACTGCATGATAATAAATTTGTGTTACTTTGAGCCCATACGTTGGTGGAAATGTGTTATAGCAGCACTAGGAAACTACGGCATTAAGTAAACATGATTTTTTTCTTTTGTATAGTAACTATTCAGAGAACTAGTATCATTACTTGAGTTCATGGAACAGAAGAGAAATAGTTGACACACGTGTAGTACCTTGTAAGGACAATACCTCAATAATGAACATTTTCTGGGGTTATACAAGGAGCATTTTAAATGTTTAATAGGAAGCTCTAACCTTCTTCAGAACTATGAAAAGGAAGGAGGGGTTGTTCCTGGATAGCAGATGGTGGCGACAGAAATGTATAAAATATTTGTCTGGGTTACACATGAAACACTGAGTTCTAGAGTGAAAGTCAGAGAGGGGGCGGGGAAGCAGCAGGACACGGGGAGAAGATAATGCCCTTGTGGACGGTGGCGGCTCAGGCTGAGGGTTCTGATGACGGGAGGGGCAGTGGAGGAACGCGGTCCTGGGGGCACTGGGTGAGGGTGCCTGTTTTGCCTGTGTGCGTTGGGGGGTGGGGGCAAGAGAGCTGCCCGCCGGCCCCACCGGTTGCCTTAGGTGGAGGCCGGAGGGTTCCCAAAGCACAAGAACAGCCCCCAGTGTGGATAACTTTGAGTCCTGGGAGCTTTGCATCCCTGGCTCTGAACACACAGCCTTGGGTTTATTTTCCAGTATTTGGAACCTCCTCTATAGATGAGAGACAGACGTGTAGAGACAGAGATAGACAGGCAGAGAAAGAGAAAGATTAAGACCAAAACCTTAGGTACAGGAGATCAAGCATCAGTTGGTAGCCAGTAAAGGAATGTGGGAGAGGACTAAACACCGGGGATTTTTTAACCACCGTGTTGCATTTTATGTCTGTATTTATCATTAACTAATTTATTCTCTTACTAACTAGTTGGATTTTTCCAACATGCTAGCTAGGTTCTCCGTTATCTAGCAGCTGACTGCTACCTTTTATTACAGACAGGGTGTTTCTGTGTTTGAACATCTAACTGGAAACGTGTGTGTGTGTGTGTGTTTGTGTGTGTGTGTGTGTGTCCATGCATGCACTTCAAGTCTTTAAGTCCTTTTTTTTAATGCTTTATTGGAGTATTCCGTGTTTGATGTGCATGTCCAGGAGTTCCTAGCCAGGTCTGTCATTTCCCAGCAGTGTCCCCTGGGCCTAATTATGTTTGACCCTCAGTTTTCTCAACTGTGAAATGGAGATAAAAAGCTAATTAGTGTTACCCTGGAGAGCAAATTGAATGAAGCGCGTAAAACTGTGCTTTAAAACAGTGAAGCCCTATATGCCTGCTGATTACAGCCAATGCTTAGTAAAAAAACAAGATACTAAGTCAGTCACATGACCTGTCAGCACCGCTGTATGAGTCTGTCATGAAGTTTTAAATGTTCAACTGCACACTGAGTAGAACTGACTCCCACACGTTTTGATCCTTTACTTTTTACTCGCCATCCTGTTCATGTGCCGCTCTGTACCTCTCATGCCGTGGGAAGTGCATTGCCACCTAATTTTGCCACCTTTTGGCATTTGACTTTACGCCTCTTTACTACCAGCCTTCTTTTCTTAAGTGCGCTTGTGTGATGATTCATACTTAAATTGTATTAATGAAGTACACTTTCAGAGCCATGAAAAAGTATTATTTTATTTGATATCTGCAGTGATACTTTGTTTTCTGAGAACCTCTCTTTCTGAGATTTTTCTGCTTATTTTCTGAGAACCTCTGTATTTTCTGAGATTCCTTTTATTTAGGATGGGTTTCCATAGTATTCTGAATCTTATGTCCAAGGGATTTAACTCCGTGCTATGTTCTGGGTGTTTGCGTAGCCCCCAAATCTGTATGTTCAATTCCTAATCTCCTATGGGGTGGTGTTAAGAGATGTGGGACCTGTGGGATGAGGTCATGAAGGTGGGGCCCTCCTGAATGAGAGCAGTGCCCTTATAAAAGAGACCACACAGAGGCAGCTCAGCCCTCCCAGTATGTGAGGACAGTGGGAAGGGGGTTCTCTGCCGGCACCGAATATGCCAGCACCTTGATCTTAGACTTCCCAGCCTCCAGAACTGGGAGAAAACCAATTATTTGTATTGTTTATAAGCCACCTAGTATTTGGTGTTTTGGCAAGGCCGCCTAAATGGACTAAGATAGGAAATTGGTAGCAAGAAGTGGGGGCTTCTGTAACAAACACGTGGAAGTGGCTTAGGAACTGGGTGTAATGAGCAGATGCCAGAAGGGTTTGGAGGTGCACAGCGAAGGAGCCCACAGTGCCGTGAATGGACCTTTAAAGGAAGTTCTGATGAGGACCCAGAAAGGAGAGAAGAGCTGGAGAGAGAGCCTCCACTGTCTCAGCAAAGACCTAGGGGGTTATGAGCAGAACGGCGGTACCAGTTTGGCTGCCAAAGGCCATGCAGATGAGATCTGAGAGGAAAACGAGGACGTGTTACTGGAACAGTGGAAAGGCCATCCTTGTTAGTGGGTGACAAAGAACTCGGCTGAACTGTGTCCATGTACTAGTGTCTCCCGGAAGGTGGACTTGCGAGCAATGAAATGAACCATTTGATGAGGCAGTTTCCAAGCAAATCATGGAGGGAACAGCCTTGTTTATGTAAAATGCACATAGAGAGAAATGATTTAAAAGCATAGCATCAAAAGCATAGCAGAACTTACACTATCTGGTACATTCTTCACCTCTTCTTGTTGAAAAGGGTGAGAGCCTCGTCAGGACAGACGGGATGGGTGTGGCCAAGGGATGTCTGACAAGGAGACCAGTTAGCCACCTACACAGAAGCCAGCGCTGTGGTCCCACACAGTGGAACCCGTCAGGGACCCAGCGGGCAAGGGCCCGGCCAGCACAGGGCCACTGCACAGACCCCCCTGCCAGGCGGCGTCCAACAGGGCCTTGGGAGTGGGGCCACCATGGTCCCCCCGGGCAAGGCTGCCTGCACGCCAGGCTGTCTGTGAACCAGGAAACAGGACCTCACCAGACACCCAGATGCTGGCCCCTTGATCTTGCATGTGCCAGAACCAGAAGAGATCAGTGTCCGTTGTTTCTAAACCACCCAGCTCATGGTACTTTGTAACAGCAGCCTGAGCGCACTAAGGCCCTTGGGTTTGTTTCCATTTTTCATAAGACAGGTGTTCTAAGACAGACGTGAAGTCTTGGGGTGTTGATTTGTCCAGAATGTGTTTATGCCGGCCGTTCCCCTCCTCCCCAGTAGTGAGCGCACTGAGATAGCGAAATGATTTTAAAATTAGCCATGCCACAGAGTGGTGGTGCTTGGCCACCTGCCTGAAGTAGTCCAAATCACTGGGTTCTTCATGCTTAAAACTGATGTGCATCTGTGGTGGGAGGCAATCTTCGGAGCCGCGTGCATACTCTGTGACAGACGTACTCAGGAAGGCTTCCGTGAACCATGCTCCTCTTGGGTAGAACCACCCTCCTCCTCCGCTACGATCCCCTACATTTCCCTGCACAAAGAGAGAACGCTCTTCCAGCAAGATCTTCTCCCATTTAGCCTTGTGAAGGTGAAATAAAGCCTGAATTTAAGATTGGTCATTATCTTGGGAAGACGGATAAAGATACATTTGAATCTGTCTTTGAATTTCAACTCCACCAGCAGGTTCTGAATAAACAGCCAGATTCTCATTAAACTCTACAGTAAACTTAAGGCATAAATGAAACTTGTTGAGAATTTATTCTCCAAGGAAGGCAGGCTACATAATTTTCTAAACGCTCCTTTTCTATAAAATATAAAATGAAAAGAGCTGGTCAGAACGTGTATTGAATATGCCCTTGGCAATGTTTTATACAGTTGCTATAGGAAGTCACTAACTTCTATTTTTATCGTTGTATATTTAGTAAGAATGAAACAAAACCCAGACCAATGGTTTAACTATATATAATGCTTAAAGTACTAGGCCAACTTGGGGGGTGGGGGTTCTGCACGCAGGTGCCTGACTCCTGCATCCCTGCTCCCAGCCCTGTGCTAGTGATGTTTCGGGCCCATACTTCTGTGGGGTGGGAGCCGTCCTGGCCACTGTAGGTTATTTAAAAACGTCCCTGGTCCCTTCCCACTAGATGCCAGTAGTACCCAGGACCCCCTCCCTGCCACCCTAGTTGTGACACATGAAACTATCTCCAGACATTGCTAAATGTCTCCCAGAGGGCTAAGACACCCTCCCTGGGTGAGAACCCCTTCTCTAGATGGACTGGGATTTCCTGGTGAGAAGAATTTTACTGGGAAAACTGTGGTGAGACACAGTAAAAGCACAGGTTCAAGCATCATATTTTATCAAGTGGCCTTAGAATGTCCATCTTTAGCTCCTTCTTTAGAAAAATCCCTTTTTGCTTGCAATAAAATGCGCGCTGACTACACGTAAGAAAAGCCACTCAATTCTCATCTGTCAAAAGCTAATTTTCCCACTAAGGTGTGACAGAGCAAATACATTGATGGGGAGGAGAGATGGGCATTTTCTACTTCACTGCACTCTTCCTATCATTTAGAAGGATTCTTGCTGCTATTATCCGTAGGGAAGTAATTGGATAGCATTTTTCATCCAAACACCTCCAAAGAGTTCCAGGCATTAACTTGTGAACTTCACATGACACTTTGACACGGGGGTAAAACCCACATAATTCTGGTTCTCAGGGTTGTGATTTTTATTTTTTATTTTTGGCAAAGCACATACCTCCTGTGCAGCATAGTGAAACGGATCATTGTATTTATAGAGCGTCCTCCATCCGGTCGGAAGGGTCTGAGAACTGTGCTTTCACAATGGGTGCGCTATCCGCAAAGCGTTCCATGTACTGCTGCTGGGCGATGTTGCATTTTGCCAAGTAACTTCATTAAGTAGCTATTGTGTGCTTGCAAAACGTTACCTAGGGTCTGTAGTTGGTTTTTTAAAGGAGTAACCAGTTGATGACAGGGCGAAACTGAGTAATGGTGCGTGCAGTGTCCACAACTGTAAACAGCCCCTCTCTGAAAACCACTAGATGTCGTCAATGCTACCGGTGGCCCGATAAGGTCGGACCCAGTATGCTCAGTTTCTATCCTGTCTCCCCACTGACCTCCCACAAAACGCCTGCGATGATCCTCATTCCTGCTCCGCCTCGTGGTGGAAAAAGTGTGGTTAATGTAGTGCCGCTCTATCACAGCTGCCTGTTGGAAGCCGAGATTTGGAGATGGATGCCCAAGTACAGGAGTATCTGCCTTGACCCTTCTTCGTAGAAGGTTGGAAAATCTTGTGCAAGGTTGTCATTGTGCCTTGGGTTCACGCTGCACTGTCCACATCTTGCACTTCCTCATGCCTGCATTTTCATTTTCTTCCAGAGGCACAGATCACATAGCTTGTTCTGCACTAGCACCAACCTGGCACAGCACGGCTGTGTAACACATGTCATGTCCTTCCTTCTTCCCTGCCCAAGTCCTTGTGTTGGGCTATTACACCACTGAAACATGCTATCGCCCAAACCTGATGCCCCAGACGCTTCTGGGCCACGTGGCAGGAGTTTGTGGCTATGGGAGCCGTTACAACCTGGCCCTCTGCCCTCTGTGGGGCGTGTGCCGCCAGCCCCTCACTGATCCCACTGTTGAGAGTGGAGGCAGAGCAGCAAGGCTCTGGGTATCTGTGGAGCACCGGCCGACCTCACAAGGAGCCTCAGACCCTGTCCCTCTCGGTGGGGAGGACCTGGGTGTGTTCTAGGAGGAGCCACTGCATGAGAGAGGAAGCCTGTGCAGAGCCCCAGGCACAGGAGGCCAACATCGGTGGGTGCCCGGGGTGCCGGCGTGCTACCCAGGCAGGGTCTGTCCCTCAGATTCACGTCACGCTGGCCACTGGCCTGTCACTCAGCTGCGGTTCAGAATGAATCTGCCTCTGAGAGCCAACCTTAGCAATCAAACCTGTAAAATTGTTTCTTTGGAGAAAATGCCCTCTGAGTTCTCATGAGTTCTCAATAGTTCTAAACTGATGATTCACAAATCAGTTTGGGGGCCATAATCCATCTGATTAATATATACCAAAACAAAATCTCATGAAATCTTGGATGACAAACAGCCACACAGTATTTGCCTATCGGTTGAAAGATTATAACTTAAATATTCAGTATCTACTGCTGTGTCTTTCCAAATGAAACACTAGTGATTCAGAACCTACACTGCAAGCAAAATAAATTGTCTGCATGTCAGAAAAGCTCCCGGAACCAAACTTGTGTTGGAGGAAATGGTAATATGTTAAACGGCCATCTTTTCAACTTTTTTAATGGAAGCTAAAGCATAATTGCTATCCACACCTGCCACTGTCTCATTATCATCCATCCCATGCCACCAGCACATAAGATGTGTGTGTCCCTCAGCGACATCCTGGTGACACAAATGAGAACATCCCTGAGCTGCAGCCTCTTCCCCCTCCGGTAATGACCCGAGGGGTTTGTTCCTGTGCAAAATGAGACTGCAACTGTAAGACGATCTTCACAGTATACAATAGAACATTGTGAACAGTTTATCTGCAACTCGTACACACTCAAGAACTTCGACTTATATGGACCTAGTTTTGTAATGACTTGGCTGCCCAATGTCACATGCCAGTTTTACTCAGGCAAAGTTGACTGAATCAGAGAACACTGAATTGCACGTAGCTCTTTAGGGTCTTCCCAGGGATTAAAACACTGTCTTCTCTTTAAGCGTGCCCTGTTGTGCACTTGAAATATAGGGAATTTATTTAATGTTTTACAGTATTTTTTAATTTAAAATCAAAAATTTTTTTTTAATTTAAAATTTCACCAGAATACCATGTCCGATCTGTCAGATAAGTGTCGGTGCCTATATCCTGAGCTGTGTCTTCATTTTCTCCTCCTAGGTTCTCCTGGCGAGCAGCTTCCTGCCCATTTACGCAGGACTGAAGCCAGTGGAATACAAGGGGCAGGTAAGGTCCTCATAACTGACCTGTACCAGTAATTTCTGTATTAATACCTTTCCTCTGAAGGAGCCGATGTTACAATTGTTCTGGTGGCTCCAAATCAGTTCGTGTAATTTTTTTTCCACAAATAGTTTTGTTTCTTGCTTGATGTATCCAGCCACAGAAGGCTGATGTGCCGGCGTCCTTCTGTGTTGATCGCTGAATACCAGCTTGATGCCCTCCCACAGTTTAAGAGGGTTTCGAGGCCCAGGTATTCTCGAGCATCTTCCCATCTCTAGGGAAATGCAAACTTTTGCTTTAAACATCATTTTGCTGTGAGTCTGACCTTTGCGTATGATTTGGATGACAGAAAAATTTCCGCCGTGCTGAAGACACCTCTCCTGTACTAGGTTGTAATGTCTTTAGGGAGCTCAGGTCTTGATTTGATTGATGGCTTCAGTCATTTCTCTGAAGGGACAGAGTTTGCGGGGCCAAGCAGACTCGGCATCACTTCCGTTCGCACGCTGGAGCCCTGGCAGCAGAGAGCCTGCAGCTCTGGCCGAGATGGGCCAAGCCCACCCTCTGCTCCTGTGGTTTTTATTAAATACACGAACCTCCCGGATTCCACATCTGGTACTACCTAGGTATTGAACATACTGGATTTTTAAAATATTTGTTTATGAACCTAATATTTTTATTTAAAGAAATCTTTTATTAGTGACTTAGAAGTATCACACTTTCATAAGGCTGATGATTACAACAAGTAGCAAACAGTATGGTTCCTTCCTAAACTGTGTGCCAGTTGTTTGAAGTGCTAAAATGTCTTTGAAAACTGCTTCCTTTTCCTAATTTTAAAGGATTTCATTAGCTCTTGGCTGCCTGCAGACTCTAAGACCATATTTAGGCCCCTATTTGTAGTAGATATTCATTAACAGTTGAGTAAATGAATGAATGGAAATAACCTGAACTTCAGCCATATATTTTTTCTAATGAATCTTCCTTTAATACACATGGCCTCTTTCTAGTGATCAAATAAGCTACGGGAATATGCATACTCTCAGAGCACATTTTCATAGGTTCTCGTCATCATTTCGATTAAGAATGAGGATTTTCAAGAGGAATTCTTAATAACTCACTTTTTGAGAGATTAGCATTAACATTGACAAGTGACTGAAATATCAAAATAACAGACAGAATAAGATAACCTCTGGAATTGATATACACAGATCACAAGAAAACCTGTGGGTTTCTTTTCTTTTTGTCTAAGTTAGAATTCAAGTAATATTTTGACTGTATTGTATAGAGAAAACATATCATTGAGCCTTTTGCATGGTTATTATTCCTTTCGTTATTGATGTATCTGGGAAAAAGAATTGTGGAATACTCTGTTACTATGCATTTGTATAAAATGACTACTATAATCCTCAGGGTTCTATTTCTTCATGTTTTAGACATTCTACATGCATATGTGGCTCAATCCCCAACACAGCAAACAGTGGTAGTTGGCCTGGCAACCAGCTAGATTTGGTTTAATGGAAACCTCGTTCTCAATTTGCAGAATGGAAGATCATCTTTTGCAGCAACTATCTAAACATTTTTGCATCGTCTGTTTGACTTTTAAAAAAATATATTAGTGTTCCAGGGAATGTTTTCTATATAGCATTTAGAAGAATGTTAACTGCTAAGTAACTCTAGCATTTTCTCCAAAATTGGATATGCAGAATCACTGGGTAACTTTCAGAACTTAAGGCAGCCACGTACAAGTTATTATTTAGCAGAAGTCAGTACCGCAGGGATCCTCAACCTTTGCTTAAAAATTGTATTTATTTTAACCTGTCTCCCTTTCATTGAAAAATCTCACCTGTCTCTTCTCTCCTCCTGTGTTTCTTCCAAATTCTCCCAAATGGGAGACTGTGACCTGTACCCTAGGGGGTGCGTATCTCCTGGTCTCTCTCTCTCTCTCTCTCTGTCTGTCTCTCCCTCTCCCCTATTTTAAGAATCACTAACCAAGACTGTTCTGTTGGTAAGACTGTGTGTTCTCTATGCCATGAAGGCAAAGAAGATACATTTGCAAAAACAAAGTAATTTTTTAAAACCACCTTTACTTCCTCTGGCCTCTTGTTCCTCACCTTGCAGAAAGCTGTTCCGAGGCCACCCTGCCTCCGTGGCACATACTGTAATTTACAGGGGGTGAAAAAGAACAGTGAATTGCATGAGAAGACAGCTGCACCCATTTTTGAGGCATACTCTACAGCAGGGGTACAGAAATTATTTTCCATGAAGCATGAGGCAGCACATACTTCCGGCATTGTGCAACATACAGTCTCCTTCGACACAATTATTCAACGTGGCTTTTTTAGTGGAATAACAGCTCTAGGCAGTATATAGGCAAAAGGGCATGGCTGTGTGCCAGTAAAACTTTATTTACAGAAAGCAGGTGGTGGGCTGTAGTTTGCCAACCACTGACCCAGAGAAAGGAACCCTGCCAGCTTGAATTTCCTTTTCTGTAAAATGGGGAAACTGAATTTACTAGCATGACCTTCCTACCCAATGGTGCTCTAGTAAAGATTATATTAAGTGGTATGTGAGAAGCTGTTTTATAAACCCTTAGGCCCCGTGCCATGGTATTTATAATAATTACAGATGTCAATATCTCATTCATTCTCCTAACAAAGTATTTTTTTTATTCACTTGCTTTTTGAGCAAAATGCACCCGAAGGAAACGCAGCCCTGCATGGGCTTGTTACGGGGAAGGATCCCAGCATCCAAAACCCATCAGGTGCGCATTGTATGCTCTACAACTAGTTGCAGAGGGAATAAATAGACCATTTTAGTAGACAGTGCCTCCCTGTCAAGTTTCCCCCTTCTGTTATATAATAAGAGTTGCTTGGATTCCTAAACCTCGGGGCATGTTTTCACATGTGCCCGTAACACCTCAGTGTATAAGGCAAAGTTTGACATGTGCTGGCAGATGTACAACCTCACCCGCTGGGAGTCACAGGTACTCTGTTATCCCTTCAAAGTGACTCTGTTCATTCTGGTTTCAAGGCTGCAGCCTTTTGGGAGCAGTCACAGTGGACCCCCACCCCACAAGCAGGGGTGAGTTTTTATTTTCTATTGCACAGTTTTTTTTTCAAAACTGGTTGGACTCAAGCAGTCGACTGGAATGTGGAGCACTTTTGGAATGTGCTCAGAGATGGAAATAAAGTGTAGTAGGACAAGTGACCGCCACCCTGGGGCCAGCAGGAAGTGTGATTGTGAAACACACTGTGCGGGAGATTCCTGCACGTCTGCACTTCACTTTCCTCTGGATGACCCTGCTGCGCACTGAAAGATAACCCACACGGGGCGAAGCCGTCGTGGCGTGAACCAGCACAGTTTTTGAGCTTTTATATTTTGTTGAGGAAGATGCTGGAATCATAGAAGCTCATGGCAGTAGCTACCAATGCATGGAAGGCTGCCTGCCACGTGGAAATGTGAGAATGACTGGCAGGAATAGGTGGCAAACAGCCAGAGAATGTATGGACTGAAGTATGTAAATACAGCATGGTAAACTATCAGGCATGAGATATAAAATACTTGCACTGTTCATTTCCAGGTCGAGGAATGTTGGCTGCTGTTGTGTTGTTTCCAGATATGTTGCTGGAATCAGCACGCCTGGGCACAAGTGTGGTGGTCAGGAGTGGCACAGCTCAGGGGAGCATAAATGAGGAGTAAGGTTCACTGAATTTACACTCTCTGAGCTGCTTGGGGTTATGGCTTTCGGAAGAGCTAGTAACATTGCAAATTTAATCAAGTCATTTGATAAGCTGTATGTTTTCCGCAGTCATTTATCCAATCAGAATCAGCTAACAAGAGCGAACAAAATTTGGAAAAAGGGTTTTCAATTCCCTGAAACAGCAGTCATTAACCCCATGGTAAATTAGAACATTTTGCAATTCAATGAGCCAGATTGCCCTTCTTTTTCCTTAAGTTGAATAAGTCAAATAAGCTCTTACTTAAGTTACATGATACATGGTACATATTTTGAATTTCCCTTGATGAATCCTATACACATTTCCACATCACTGCTGAGATATTCTATTGAGAATATGAAAGGTAATTTTGGACGGTGTCTTTGTTTCTTCTCTAGGTATTGACTTACTCTAGAAGTTGGTACCCATGCCTGTAGCTATCAGGAAAAAGAAAGAAAGTAAGCTGTGGGACAGTAGGGCGCAGACCTGGATACTCGGGGTCTTCTTACCACAAACCTCCATTTCTTAAACTGTTTACAGATCTATATATACAGATGTCTAAACATATATGCACATACATGTGTTAAATATACCCAAACACATATGAATATGTGTCTACATGGTATGGATAAAATAATAACACATGAACTTTAAAAAAGAATGTTAATATGTAAATTAGCCAGGTGAGTTTCATTTAAATCGAATCTACTTATGTTTTCTCCTCCACCAAATGCAAGTTCCCTCAAAAGAAATTTTCAACACACTGTCCCTTTTTATTTAGTTACTTTTAGAATAAATGTTTACGTTTGGGGGGTATTGGTAGTTGGCCAGTGCCATGACAGACAGTGAAGCACCCATCATTTAGACACCAGCTTTAGAAATAAAAACGAGATAGACATTAAAAAAAAAAAAAAGGACACCTTAGAGAAAATGGATGTTTTCACTGAGATGAGGATGTTTTATTCTCACCTCTTTCTCCTTCCCTGCTCCACCTTTGTGCTGAACACAACGGCTTTGTTTTTTTTCTCCATGACATTTTAAATGTTCCAGCAAAATGGAGTGTGCAGACTTCTCCACTCAAGAGTCCTTTGTGAGGGGCTCTCAGCCGCTACCAGATGTTTTTGTTTCTTTTTGCACATCAACTGAAGGATATTTCCAGTGGCAAATATACCTTGGACATTATTTTGTGTTTGTTTACTGTTCGAGTTGATTATGTTAGTACATCAGTTCAAGGATGGACGGAGACTCTTGCCTTGAAGTTGACAGCATAAGGAATCTCATCTGTGTTTCTTTGCTTGTACTTAAGCAGCATACACTTCTGCAGAAGCCTCTAGAAGCTTTTCTCACCTGCTGTATCCATCCTCCTACTTTGGGCATGAGTCTGAAAGCCTACAATTTCTTATGAGTCATGTTTCTTTTTTTTATGCAGCTCTTCCCATTCTTTATGGCTTTAAGACCGCAGGTACTCAGGAGCCACTTTGGAAATAGAGGAATTTCTGGTTGTTCTATTAATTTTTAAGTATATACAGAAAATGCTAGTTTCCGGTTCTTATAATAAAAATGGAACGTTGTATGGTTGTGGATGGTTTGATCTGTCTGTCAGCAGTAAACTTGGCTTCCACTTGTGTTCAATAATAAATCCTCTCCTCATTACACAAGTCTTACGCCTGCACCGTCATCCATAAAATCTAAAGTACGTCTTAGGTAAAATAATCGAGTTAAGAGGTTTCCTGATTCTGTCGAGTTCTTAACATATAGTAGATTGTATGTGTCCAAAGGAAAGCAAAACAAATCTCCAAGTGGGTTAGTCCTGGTAAGCAGTAATTTGAGAACATATTCAAGGCATGGACTGTATTAGATGGAGAAGCCGACTGAGAGGTCTGTTCTCCTTCCCTGCACATGGGCTGTGTGTTGCTGACGTCTTCCCATGAGTGCTGTTTCCTTCCACAGAAGTGGATGGATGGAGGCCTCACCAACAGCCTTCCCATCCTGCCTGAAGGCCAGACAGTGACTATCTCCCCCTTCAGTGGACGATTAGACATCTGCCCAGAAGACAAAGGGCTGCTGGATCTGTACATTAACATCACCAATCAGCACCTAAGGGTGAGTAATACGTAGAGTGCTACTTCAAGGGCCCTAGTCCCCTGAAAGTTTACACATGCTTGCAAACCCTTGGATCGTGTTGATAATTTTATGTATAAATTGTACCTTCTCAGTATTGTTTTTAATACTTTCCAGTATGTATCATGCATGTGGACCTTGGTGTGTCTAGACTGTGCGTGTGCAATCCCTTCACAGTTTATTAACTGTGAAATGTTTTCTGTTCCTTCACTTCTTTTTCTGGTCAACAGATTTGGTGGGATTTCCATGCAATGTTAAATAGATTGTGTAAAAAGATGGCAATAATTAAGTATGCAAAAATACTGGAGAAAAATTAAGGACACCACTGAATAATTTATATAACAATCTAACTCCCTTAAGCTAGTCTCAGTTCTCAACTGGGGCGAGATCCCTAGGAGCCATTTGCATCTGTCTGGAAACAGTTTTGCTTGCCACATCCAGGAAGTCCTTCTGGCATCTAGTGGGGGGAGCCCAGGCTTGCTGCTCAACACCCTTTTGTAAAGCACAGGACACCCCACAACGAAGAAATATCTGGCCCAAAACGGCAATAGTAGCAAGACTAGTCTATACATGGAGTTAACCTTTTAATTTTTTAAAATCACTAATTGCATCTATAATACGAAAGCTTAGGTTTGAAATAATGCACATTTACCTGTACTTTAATATCCTGTCGCTTCAATTTGTCTTTCTCTTCTAGCTGTCCGTGGCAAACTTGGTAAGGCTTAGCCAAGCCCTCTTCCCACCAAAGAAGAGGAAAATGGAATCACTGTATCAACATGGGTTTGATGACACCATTGAGTTTTTACTTAAAGAAAATTGGTTTGAACAGAATGCTTAAACGTCGATAACACAAAACAGATTTCACACAGTTTTTGATGGAGACTTCTAATCAAATCGATTTTTTTTAAAAAACATGCAGGATTCCCCATTACCAGTTTCTGTAACATTCATAATCATTTTTATTATTTGAATTATTACTTGGTACAAGGAAATAAGAAGCATTTTGCTAGAATTCGGCTGTTTCATCAGGACACAGTCAGGTGATAAGGAAACCTTTCCAGAGAACAATCGCGTCCTTTGAAAGGTCCCTTTCACATTTGGGGGGTGGGGGGGTGGGCTCGCTGCGTAAACCGTGGAATGCTGGAAACGGAGAGCCGCCGCCTGCGCGCTATCATTACAGAGAAGGAGGCAGCATCTGAGACATGAAAGGGTATTTCCGTGAGATACCAGTGCCCTGTAGTCCCAGAACAGAAGGAGCAACTTTGTCAGGCCGAACTTGTCTCCGGGCCGAACCCCAGCATCCGAGGCAGGGAGGGGAAGGACTGGAGCAACGGGCAGCACCACTAAGGCTTTGAGAAGGGGTGGAGGGGCAACGGCTTGCTGTTCACAGCTGCCACGCAGCTGTGCCTGGTAGGCTGCTGGACTGGTAGGCCAGAAGCCCACGACGTTTTGACACGAGGTCTGTTTTCCTTATTCTTCAGTACAGTTTCCCCTTCCCACCTTACTCCTTCCAAATCCACCCTCCAGCTCAGGTGGTTATCAGACTGTTTTGATGCGTCCTTGTTCTAAAGCCTAGGCTGCCGTTCGTGTTCTCTCTACATCTCTCTCTGTCTCTCTCTTTCGCCTGTGTCTTGGGCTCTCTGTCTCTCAGTCTCTTTGTTTGCTCCCACAAGGCCGCACCTCAACAAATACTTAGCCTTTAGTTTATATACTCTATCTACTCATGCTAGGAACTCAAACAGGTAAAACACCACAAAACACAAGGGACCAGGTCAGCCAAACAGCCTGGTAAATAAGGATCATATCCACAATAATCATTCACGTATTATGTTTAAATCATGTTCTACTGATCCCAGGTCTTACATTTTTTGAGCAGTTGTCCTATCATTTTGAGCACCGCATGTGAGTTTACACTAATTCCTATACACTGTCTTAAAATCGTTTCCATGGGGCTTTGCCAAGCATGAACTCTTAATTACTTAAGAAGCAGTTAGAAACAAACTAGTTTAATTGCTTGTCTTTAACTGTTATGCATTTCTCTTTCTGCCATTTGAAGCCATTGTTTAAATCAATTCTATGGTTCTTAAAAGCCCCCAATACACAATGTTTAGCACATAAACACTGACAGTTGCCTCCTTTCTGCCGAGTCCTGCAGAGACTCAAGGTAGAGTCGTCGCACCTCTTGGACTGTGTATGTTTTTCCTACTCTAGCAAATGCAGTTAAATCTTCACATTGTTTTAATAAGTGACATGATGGGGATAGATACTCAGTTCATTCCTGCCTCTGCTCATTCACTGGATTTTCCTCTTTTACCACTTTCTGGGACCATTCTATTTGTAGAAAGTTTAGTAAATTCTTTATTTGATGCTTCCTCTGAGCAAAAACAAGCCTAATTGTGTTAGACTTTTAAAAAGTATTTTGTCCCTAGCGCATATGTCTTTGACCTTGTTGGTAGATGGTACTTGCCTTGAAAACCACTGTAAGTTCACGGACACTGCAGTGCACCCGGCTTTCTAACGCGAGACACAGGTGGCATTGCAACACAGCCCGCAGTTTGTCTGCTCCAGGGGGACACTGTACCAAATTCTCATGAGAGGCAAGTCACAGAGCGTGTTCTGGGGTGCAAAGGCTGTGTCCGCATGCATCTGTGCTAATGGGAAACACGCCTTAACAACAGGCTCTGCCCTATTGAGATCAGCATTTTGAAGCTCTGTAGAACTGGTGTATGGAAGGTCTGAAGAGACTTTCTGACCCCGATCCTGAAATGTTTGCAGGGCAATTACTGTAACTGGGGGCTTGATAAGTTCCCAGTTCCCTATTGGGGTAATTTCCTAATGTCTTTGCATTGTCATTTAAAATTTCCCTGGTCTTTCTTTTCTTCTTTTCAGTAACACTCTTTACATTGTAACTATGGTAACCTGCAGCTTCCATTGCCAATGAGAGAACATAGATTTGGTTTCTAAGTTCAATAATGCTCTAAAGGAGCAAGCAGTGTATTAAACACAAAACAAAACAAAAAACTGTTAGTTCTAGTTTCACAGTATTGGACGTGGCGCATGTATAGCAGAAGTTTGCAAAGAAGCATTTAATTATGAATCTAAACAGACAAGGGCACTTGAAATGGACAGTTCGGTTATGCTGCTTTTAATTTTTTTTCTGATGATTAAAACAGACGCATATAATTACTTCCCTTTTTATAAGTATTAATCATAGAAAGTTTTCGGATCTAGTCTGTTCTTTTCATAGTTGAGGAACCAATAATTAGCAAAGTTCAGGGTTTTGAGGTTATTCTTGCTCAAGTTCTATCTATACTATAGCAAAATAAAATTGAAAGGTGAAGTAATTATCCACATAACTCAAAGCAGGAGAAAAGGCGATGATTGCAGATTAGGAAAAGATGATTTAAAAAAAAATTATCATAGCAACTACTAATTACTAGTACTTACACTACTATATACTTACATATTATATATAAGTACTTATACTAATAAGTACTAGTAATTATTAGTTTAGTTAGGCTGAATTTACCATGTAATTGCTCAACTCTGCACTTAACCTTGGTTACGCTGATGTCTGCCAGGCTTCTCTCCTCGAATGTTACTCTGTTCTCCTTGTGGGGAAGTATTTCGAACATTATATAAAGGTCTCCTTCTTCATCAGGTTTTCAATTTTATCTACACGGACTCACGGTTTCCTGCTTGTTCCCAGGAAATAGTATCTGCTACGCCCCTCATTGCTCTCGATGTGCGAGTGGCCCTCAGCTTGCTCAGTAGGACCTGTTCCGGCGGCCGGCTGTGCCCCTTGGCAGCTCCTCATTATTCTCTGACCCGTGCTTTGCTTTCTGAAACAACATTCTCCAGGCTTATCTTGCACTTCTGCTTCCCCATTCTGGAATCACCCATGTCTCTAAGGGCTGTAATTCTTTTAATAGAAAATGGCATTTATATTCACGGTGTGTATAAACCAAGTTGACTACCCAAATGACAATGGTATTGGTGTGATGCTGCTCCCAGGTCCTCTCAGTGAAGAGAGTTAGGGAATTTGCAGGCATGTGGATGTGGGCGTGCATGTACCGGCATTTACATCTATGTTTATCTATGTATCGGTCAATGAATCGACCCGCCCATCACTTATCTATGTATCTACCTATTTTACACATATGTAGAAGCTGTCCTTGCTTGCCTACCTGATGGTGATGTCTGTCTGTCCATTGTTCAATAATTGCATTCTGATAGGGCAACAATAAAACTCTAAATTAAGCCACTATGCGAATTGCCTAAAAGAAGGAAGAAAATTCTTGTCATATGCATTAAAATAAATGACTTTCAGTACGCATGTTAGATTAATAAAATAGCAGCACTCAGTTAAGAATAAAAAGTTTCAATAAAAAATGATTCAAAAAAATCATTCATGGTTAAATGACAAGCCTGTGCCTTATAATAAACTGTGAAAGATATTACAATTAAATAAGGAATAAGAGAAGATGCCTGACATCTCTGCTATTAAGAAAAGGGTTCTAGAAACTCTAGAAAATACAGAAAGATAAATAAAAGCTGGGAAATGTAAAAAATAACAAAACCGTTATCATCTGTAAGTTGTGCAAGCACTGTGCACATGACCTAATGCACCATAAATCCTCAATAGTTAGGGATAAAAATGAGTCAGTGCCTAAAAATGCAAGATCATCAACTAGAAAAGTATTATGAGAAGTTAAAAACTATCCATGCAAAAAATCTATAGTAATAGATGAAAACTGATACTACTTTTATACCAGCAGAATGTAAAATGTGGAACAATGCATTCACAATAGCCAGAAAGTCACACAACTTCTAAAAACTGTTCCAGACACATATGAAAGTTCTACACATTTACCTACTTCTGCGTCTATGACATCTAATGTTGCAGAATGGGGAATGAGGTTCTGGGTGGTGTCTGGTCTCACATTACATCACAAATTTCACACATTCCATCACACTGTCAGTACTTTTGTTTTCAAAATGTGACAAATGGATGTTAAAGTTCACCTGGCAGCATAAATGCTCAATGACAGCCAAGAAAGGTGAAGTAATTTTGTAACCTAGTCTTAATATCTTCAGTGAATTTTCTCTTAGTGTCTTTCTTCCATTTTTTCTAAGGAGGCATTAGAGATGTTTCTTATTTAAGAGAAGTCAAATAAAGAGATCACTTTTAGGACAGTTAATTTTCAGAAGTTTTTAGTGCATGTGACAGAATCCCAGTTCAAATTACATTTAGCCAAAGAAGAATAAAGGAATAAAGGGATGACTTGTTCATTTGCCAATACAATCTAGGGTATATCTGGCACATCTGGACACAGCTGCTCAGACATAGTCATCAGATAGCATGAGTCTTTAGAACAGGGTCTTTCCAGATGGTGAGGTAAGATGCTCTCCAAGCAAAGCTCATGTTTACCACATAAAAGGACAAAGTACGTAGGGAGGATTTTTCTTAATAGTCCTAATAGAAAAGTCCAAGAGAAAATTCTGGTTGGGTATGACTGGGTCTTGTGCCAGCCGTGATCTCCTGTGGGCTTGGAGGCTGGATATTATGACAGTTCAGGCCTGGAGCCCACAATCTCCTCTTTGGCCTGAGGCCCAAATAATATGGAAGGAGGTAAATAATGAAGTACTTTT